ATATCTATTCGGGTCCATGAATAGTGTCTAGGAGAGAAATAAGTATATTGATTTTTATTGGGATTTCTCAACCTCCATATATCCTGCAGTCCAAATTCCTCCCTTAAATCATTACATATTTTTGGTAATGTTCTCTTAATATCCTTCAACCCTCCTTGTATGTTTCCCGGGACATAATCCTGCATTCTATCCGTTACAGCATTGAAATCTCCAACTAAATAGATATGTTCGTATTCCAGGTCACCCAGTTTAACATAAAAGTTTTGATAAAAAGTCCTCCGATTGTCATTAGGGGCATAAATACAAACCAATAAAGACTTCCACTGGGCAATTTCTATTTCGAGCATGAGAACCCAGCCTTCCTGGTCAGCAAATACCTGTTGGGATTTCAAATGATGTCGTACATATACCACTATCCCTCTTTTTTTTGTCCTGCTAATGAGGTATAAGTTTTACCCAACGCCCGGCATTCTAACAAATGGTTTTGATCTTTTTTTATGTGAGTCTCCTGCATGCAGACAATATCATACTTAGCTTTTCTTAATTTGTTCAAAATCCTACTACGCTTATTAGGGGCATTTAAACAGTTAATATTTACAGATATCAAACGTACTAATTCCCCCATCTCCTTTTCTCACCTAAGTTTTTACTTTCCCGCTGTTGTGGCCTTCTTAGCTGTTTGTCTTGTCTCCCTCTGAGGCGCTGTTAATTCCTCAACTTTTTGTGTTCCCCCACCCTTCTTTCCCACCTTTCCTTCTCTCCTCTCCTCTACCTCTTCTTCCTCTTGTGATTCCTCCAGACTTCTACTTTCCCCTTCTCCTTCAACATCTAATTCTGACAAATTGAATTGTTGTTCCATGAGTTCTCTTACTTCTTGAAGACTCCAAATCCTCACTTTCTTATCCCTCCATGTCATCAATAATCCTTCAGGTAACAGCCAATGATACGAAATTGCATTTTTCCTCAGGAAAGTCATCAAAAATTGATATCTACGTCTCTGTTCTCTTACCCAACCTGGAATTTGTTTCAAAACTATTATCCGTTGGCCTTTATATGTAATAGTTTGATCCCTTGTTCGTTTATAAAATTCTTCGCACAAGGCTTTTTTATTAAAACGAATGTGAATTTCCTGAGGGAGATTGTTCCTTTTTGCATAGCTAGTGAATAGTCTAAAAGACTATCACGTTGGATCATGCATCTATCCACCTCCAAAGTTTCTGCAACTATTTCTCCTACAGTGTCATTCAGTTTTTCATCTTTCTCCTTCGCCACATTCTGTATTCTAAGAAAAAAAAGATCTCTCCATCTCCAAAAAAAATATTTCTTCCTCTAAGTCCCTATTTATCGTTATTTGTTTCTTCTCCCAGCTGTCCATCCGCCCTTCGCATCTCTCCGTCTTCTTCTCCATCTCTTTCATTTTTTCCTCTTGTTGTATTAATGTCTGTCGTATATCTCCCAATTCACTTCGCATCTGTTTACATCAAGGAGTTACATCTTTTTTTCCAGAAAAATAAGAAAGAGGATACTTCAATATACAATACATGGGATACGGCTAAGGCAGTGATGAGGGGATGGCTAATCAAATACATGATTGATAAACACAGGGCTGGTAAGAAACACCGAGACAACCTCTTGAATAAATTACAACGGGTGGAAGAAAGGATGCAAAATGGATTAACTCAGACAACATTGATAGAGGAAAGGGATTTCTGGCAACACCAGATTAAATTATTAGATCAAGAGGAATTAGCAAATAAAATAAAGTGGACTACACAAATTTTTTTTCAAAGGGCAAAAAAAACAGGAAGATGGCTGGCTTACCGGCTTAGGAAGGAGCAGGAACAACAGAGAATAGAAGGGCTGAAAGATGTAATTAGGAATCTGCATTGTACTAAGGAAGGCAAGAGAATGGTAGCCCAGGATTTCTTTACACAGCTTTATCAGAAAAGGGAGGAAAATATTTGTGAAACTTGGAAATACTTGGAAAAGACAGACTTGCCTAAAGTCTCGGAAACAATGAAGGATATTCTTAATGTGGAATTTACGATGGAGGAAGTAGAAACAGTTATGAAAGCACAGGCAAATGGCAAAACCCCGGGTAGAGATGGCCTCCCAGTTGAACTATACAAAATAGTGTTTGATGTTGTAGGGAAACACATGACGGATTTATTCAATGCGGTTATGAAAGAGGCTCAGGTCCCAGTATCTTGGACTGAGGCTTATATTTCTATTATTCCAAAAAAAGGAACTGACCTATCTCTTATTAAGAATTATAGACCTATATCATTACTAAATTCCGATTATAAGATATTTGCGGGGGTCCTTGCAGCCAGACTTAGCTATTTCCTTAACCAATTCATTCACTCAGACCAAAACGGCTTCCTTCCTCATAGATACTTACGAGATAATCTTAGAATTATCATGAATACATTAGAATTTTTCAAAAATCGCCCAGATAAACAATTAGCTTTAATTTTTGTTGACTCCCAAAAGGCGTTTGACAGAATCAGTTGGGAATTTATGATTTCTCAATTGGAATATATGGAATTTGGTGGGAATTTTATTCGGGCAATTCGAGCTATCTACCGGGAACAGACTGCAAGAGTTTTCATAGATGGAGAGGAAACAGAGAGGATTCAAATTTGTAGAGGTACAAGACAGGGATGTCCCCTTTCCCCATTGCTATTTGTATTGACTTTAGAACCCCTGCTTAGAGAAGTGAGAGGAAATACGGAAATAAGAGGAATGAAGATTAGGCAGGAGGAAGTTAAAGTCCAGGGTTATGCAGAAGATCTTGTATTTATTTTGGATCAACCACTGGACTCGGGCCTGAAATTATTATGCTTGATTAGAGTATGGGAAGGTAGCAGGATTATTGATGAATGAAGAAAAAACTAAAATCCTAGTGAAGAATATGACTCAGATGCAAAGGCAACAGCTGGAGCAGTTAATGGGTTTAAAAATGACAAAATTAAGTATCTGGGTATATGGTTGACTGCCAGATGCTCCTCCATAAAGGAGGATAACTATTTTCCTCTTTACAACCAGATGCTCAGAGATCTAGAAAGATGGAAAAATCTCCAGCTATCAATTTTGGGAAGGGTGGCAACCATTAAGATGTGTGTGTTACCCAAATGGCTATTTCTATTTCAAACAGCCCCGGTAAGGTTGAACAAAGAGTTTTTTTACAAATTTGGATAGGAGTATATCAAGTTTATCTGGCAGGGAAAGAAGCCACGGATTGGACTTAAAATATTACAAGAACCTAAAAACAGAGGAGGACTTGGACTCCCAAATTGGGAGCTTTATTACCAAGCAGCGAACTTGATTTGGGTGAAAGAATGGATGACCCTACAAAAGAGATGATTTTTGACATTTAAGGGAGCCGGTCTTCAACATAGCTGGCACTATTTTTTATGGCCGCGAGTGTCGGCCGCCCCAGACACTTTGACAATCACTATTTACATAGGACTCTTGGGTACACTTGGGAAAAGATTAGAAGAAGAGTATATTCAAAAGTCCCATGTTGGATTTCAGCGCAGGAAGCTCAGATCTACCCGCCATTGTATAAAGGGGGGAAAACTTTGACTTATGAAGTCTTTTTGGATGCTCAGGGTAATCCGAAGTCACGAGAATTATTAACTCTCCAAGGATATAAAATAAACTGGTGGTCTTATTCCCAAGTGCACTCGAGGTATAAAAAAGATTTATATAGTGAAGGAATTTACCGTAAAAGACAAGAATTGGATAAGATCTTATTAGGAGGAGGGAAAGGGGTACTATCTAAATGTTATACATATTTATTGTCTCTGCAGATAGGACAGGATGTAGTGAAGGATTGTATGATAACGTGGGGGCGAAATTTTGGATATCCCCTTGACTTCCAGCAATGGGAACAGATTTGGTTGAAAAATATGAAATTAACCATGGCCTCCTCATATAAAGAAAACATATATAAAATGGTCTACCATTGGCATCTCCCTCTACAAGACTAGCTAAAATGTTTCCCGGGACATCTTCCTGCTGTTGGAAATGCGGTTACAGTAATGGAACTTACTTTCATCAATGGTGGACCTGCCCGCAGGCGGTTAAATATTGGGAAAAAATACAGCAGTGGATTTTGGAAATTACACAGATCAATTTGGAATTGAGGCCAATATTTTCCTGTTGGGGGCAAAACCTTTGAATGTTAAATAAGGTATATGGTTCTTGTTGATTCATATTATTACTGCAGCAAGATTAGGGTTTGCGCAGGAGTGGAAAAATCAATACTTACCGATGGATTTGAAAATAATATATAAAATTAATGAGTGTGCGGAATCAGATAGATTAACTAGATTGATCAATGGTAAAAAAGATTCAGAATTTTATAACAGTTGGAAATTTATTTTTTTTAAAATTTGATTTATATGCCGCCCTTCTCTGGAGACTCAGGGCGGCTTACAATGTGCTCAGCAATAGCCTTCATCCTTTTGTATATTTATACAGTCAGCTTATTGCCCCTACAAACTGGGTCCTCATTTCACCTACCTTAGAAAGGATGGAAGGCTGAGTCAACCTTGAGACTTGGCGAGATTCGAACCCTGCAGTAATTGCAGGCAGCTGGTTTTAATAACCAGCTTAATGACAGGGTGCCTTAAACCCCTGTACTACCAAGGCTCTTATGGTATGATTGGGTCCAGAAAAGGTGGGTTAGAATAGATATATGATGGCAAGTATGTATGTATAAAGGAATGACTTTATATTTATGGACAATGTACTCACATTACACCATGGTGGCAGAATTGTATATTTCATTTGTGTATTGATGCATAGAATATATTAATAAAATAAAATTTAAAGGAAATAAAAGAAATGATCTATCTCATTTTCATTGATAAATTTCATGGATTTCTTTCACTAATCAATGTTTCCCCTCATGTCTCGTTTTTGATCCTGTTAGATTTGAACAAATATCCTCTTACTATTTCTTTATTTCACCAAATAATATTCAGACAAAGTTGTTTTTTTAAGGTGGCTTTTATTATTTCCTTCTAACTGTTATTTCAATTTCCCATAGCACCTTGGCAATGTCAAAAACAAATACAAATACATGTATAATCTTAACAATTAAGCATGAACCTACTTTACACAATTTCTTGGATTAGACAGCTTTGACAACAGGAATAAACCAAACTGATAAATAGATAAGCCAAATAATTGAGATATATATGAAGCCATCACTCTGCTAAGTCAGACTAGATGTAGCACAGAAGTCAAACTTTTTGGGGGAAAGATATAGCTGAGTAGTTTGGTTTATTAAAAACAGAAGCCATTTGCACACCAACACTTAATATTTGAAATTTCTTTGAGGGAAATTTTATTCATAACTGATTTTTTTAAAAAGTCATTAAATAAAAGTGTTGAAGTTGTTAACAGGTTAGTTCAGAGGCTGATTAGTTCCTATGCTAAATTTTAAATCTACATTAATACACTCATTCCCATCTCTTCAAGAGTCGAGGGCTGAAGATGCAAATAACCTTCATCCAAAGAACAAAAAAAAAGGGTGGGGGGGAAGAGAAGGGAAATCAGAGGTACCATCCTAAAGGAAGCCAATGCTATATAATAGATTCTTTCTCACATACACACAAGAGCATGATAGACCATTACAGACTGATGGTGATCTTATGTTTCAGAAGAAAATATCAAAAGTTAAAAGAAAAACCTATTGCATATTTCTTGTAATCAACAGTTTACAAAAGTTTAAGCAATCCCCACCCCGAAGTGCATTTCTGTTGCATTTTTATCAGTATACAATGTAGCATTTTATAAATTTAAAATAATCTGTACACATGTAGCAGGAATTTTTACCCAAGTGAATGTTCACTTGATGACAATAAAAATAGTGGATATATTCAGACATTTAGCTGATACTGACGAAGTAATAAGGCCATAGCTATTTAAATTATAGTAAAGCATTGCTTAAGTCACTTAATTGCTACTGATCTGCCCATATCTTCAGGTCAATAAGAAGAGTTTGATTTTAATCTGTTAAAACAGCATCACAACTTTCCAAGCTACTTTGGGGGGGGGGGGTAGAGAAAACAAATAGAAATACAAATTTCACCCACAGAGAATCTTCTCCTTTTCCCTTTTAGAGAAGTACAATACCATGGCTCAGAATTATTGAATAAAATTAAAGATACAGAATGTGTACAAAATGTGTAAAAAACCCAAAATTTCCTGCTAATGAAGATCTCCTTTCACAAGTTCAGGAAACAAAGGTAATTGTGATCGTTATCATCTTGCATATTATTATATTTCATCAAAAGTTTAAGGGTAAAAGGCATGTACGTCCAATGATGACCTATTGAAAGGGAAATACAACTGTTCTCTTAGTTGATAGTTTTGGCACTGATGCTCTATGAAATGCAAACATCAGCTTCATCTCTGCTGTTCCAATATTTACAATGAAAATGCTCCTTTTATTACATTTACCAGTATAAATCATACTGTCAATGTCATTTACATTCAACCATTGCCGAGACAGAGGATAATGATTTACAAGTTGGTCAATATATCAACTTTCAGTTTTAACAATGTCGATTTGCTCATTTACATTTAATGCACAGCTATGCAGAAAACAAACACTGCCAATATTGCACATCCTTACAGCAAGATAGTAAAATTGCCCAGACATTGAATCTAAAAACTTATTATGTCTCATTTCTAAAGTAATATGGGAAGACTGATGAAAATCCAATTCACTCTCTGAGAATAATGATTAGCCCAAATAACTTTGTTACTCAAAAGTAATTGCAATTAACAGCATATAGCATATGGTGGTTGTTTTTTTTACTTCGTCATTCCTTCTATCTAAATTTACAGATTTAGGTATTTATGGTAACAAAATAGACAGGGATATTGGAGGAGAGTGGAGAAGATGTTAACTGAGGAAACGCTTATCAAACACTTCAGTTTTTGTAAATCCCTCCAAGGTATTAATCTGACATTGGAAAAGCTGCTTTTACACACTTTACACATACATTGCACAAGAGCCACTTGTGTGGGGAAAGCACACATGCGCAGACATAAGCTTCAGGATGTACAACACATCCTTTCCCACAATCAATTTTTTCCCTCACAAAAAAATATCTGTGAGCTATGTTTGCTTCAATATCCAGTAAAGAAAAGAATTACATTTAGTTGATCTGTCTTTGAATACTAGATTCCATTCAAGCATGGACATATAAACAGAGTTAGATTTCACATCCTTACATTGCCAAGTAACTTTTAAAGTAGCATCTTCCCACAGAATTGCATTCTTCTTGAAGAGGAAGCATTTTTAAATAACTCCCAGCAACTGTTAATTCAAATCCATCTTTAGTTTGCAATGACACAGTGCTTTTATCTATCCTAAAAACAAGTACGGTACAGTATAGCAGTTCAACCTTTTTTCCATTCCAAGTGCAATAATCAGAATTATGGGTCTTTTAAAATGAAGTATTTATACATTTTTCAGAATTCCTAACATTTTAAGTACTTCACCTTTTGTGTCATATTCAGCAAAAATAGCATTATGAGTAAACCAAAGTGGGTTTGTACTTAAAAGACGTGATCAATTATTTGTTTTAATGTAGTCTGCCAAGGCCAGCAGTTACTTCAAAATGAGAAATGATTAATAACATGCATAGAAAAAGAATATCAACTACCTTAAGTACATTTACACTTCTCAATCAAATAAAAAAAGTGATTGCCAAGCTGAATAAGTTAGAGAAATGACAAATCTGACTATATATATATATACACACACACACACACACATATATATTTGTATATGTATATATGTATATGTGTGTATGTATGTGTGTATGTATATATAAAAAATAGATATGAGTGTTCTCAAAGCCATTGATAGAGAATGCCTACAGAATAAGAAACTGCCAAAAGTTTTCTGGCTAAGAAAAATCAGAAGATTACCATTTTCACAGTTAATTATTTATCTGCCACTGACATTTTAAAGTTATCACTAACACACAAACTAAAAATGCATGGTGGTATCTCATAACTGAGTTTTCCAGTGTTTACAACTAATGTCTTTAAATTTGTTTATTTGCTACCAACTAAAGAATCCAATATACTTTCCCCTAACACTTTAATACAGAACTTTGAAGTCTAGCATGTTGATTTTGCAAGATTAATGTTTTGTAATTGTCCTACTTTCTTAAATTCTATAATCATCAGCTTGTAAACCACACTGTTTGTTGCACATTCTTATTCTAATTAACATAAATCTATCCTAATATTCTTGCCAATATTCTCCAAAGTAAGTTAATTTTCAGTTATCAGCTCTATCAAACAGGGAAACTTAAGAATCTTTGTTTTGTCTCCCCATTAAATAAAACCTGATTTCTGGTATAGTTTGAAATTCCTTCAAGTAGAAAAGTTGTTTTCAGTATATCAAAGTATGGCCCTAGGTTGGCCACTCTATTTGTTAAACTGAAGTCAGATCCCCAAAATTATCTTACCTCCTTCTAGAGAATTGAGAATATTAAAAAGTTGAAAATCTCAATTCAATGCACCAAGGTAATGTTTACTATGAAGTTTCACATTCCCTATTTTTAGTTGTGCATTAGTATCCGAATAACTACATTCCAGCTAGATGTGCTTAATTCTGTAATAAAGGATCAGAGAAAATATTAAAGCAATGGAAAAAAATGCTAATCCTAATTAGAGAAAATGCTGGAACAAATTAAAACCTTACCCACTATTTCTTGTTTACTAATCTTACTGTTTGCATACTCCAGAGTAAAATCATAGTTTTAAAAGCTGACCAAAATTAGTAAAGTCAAAGACTATATTTCCAAAACACAAAATCCTACAGTAGTACAATCAATTATCATCAGTGACTAAATCATGACATAACAGGTAATATGGCTACACTCATTCATACTGACCAAGCATGTCAGTTTTGGGGCTGAATTGTAATGCAAGGCCATTAATGGCATACATGTCATCTTACAAGCCATACCTTAAATAGATTTTTAGAAGTAATTTATAACTTTTACAGTTTTTTTCCAAAAAAAATATTTGCCCCCTCTTCAAGTAAGAAACATGCTAATATGTGTATTTGTTCCTCATCTTTAATAAGCTAGTTCTTAATGCAAAAATCTAATTCAAACAGGAAATTAAAAACAGAAAGTTACAAAAATTATAATCTTTATCATATTTATATTGATTCTATTTCTCCAGCATTTTGTATCACTTCGAGATGAATATTGGGATCCCTTTAAGCTCTCTCACATTGCAAACCCTGTGCTCTTCAATTTACTGTCCACTTTTCCTATATTTATTCTCTGAGCTGGCCAGTTTCTCCTCTACTGCTCTTTAGTTCACAGTTCTGATTAAATAAAAAGTTTGATCAATTTTCCTTTGGTGATCGCGGTGGCATATACTGTTCCTTGCCAACTCGCCGAGGCGCTCCCTGAGGAGAAGACCTACGTCCACATTGGCGCCTCTGTTCCCTGATTTTTCCTGCAGCTCCTTTGGGAGGCCCATTGCCTCTGAAAACAGCCAAGTCATTCATCCGTCCTTCAGACTTTTCATGTGCCTTCTCTCCAGCCTTCTCATGGGTGCCATTTTCTTCTGTTTTGGCAGGGGAGGTTACATTAGAACGCAGCTCCCTAAGTGGCTGAGCAGGAACAGAAGGTACTTCTTTTGGAGGTTTCTGACAGACCTCAGCATAACTGAGCTTCCGAGGTTCCTTACCAAAAGAAAAACACTTTAGTATGCCTCTAATATAACAAAATCAAGGGGCATATGCTAGTGACAATTTAAAATTAAAGCTATGTTTAGCAATTGTACATACAGTTAGTCCTTAATTTACAACTAGTTGCTTAGCAACTGTTTTAAGTTATGGCAGATCCTGGAAAAGCTACTTACAACCTAGTTCCAAAGTTATAATTCCAACAGCCACCCTGTGGTCATGTGAATAACATTCAGGCAGATTCTGACCAACCGTAGGGACTGTAGCATATCTCCCTCCTCCTCCTGCTCTCCCTGTTTTCTCACCCCACTGTCCCATACCCTCCTTCCTAGCCCCATCAACCTGGTCATTTACCTTTCAGTGTAGATCTTCTGGAAGAAGCTGCTGTACATGGAGCCTTGCTACATAGTCCACTTGGGAAAGGGGAGCAGGCTGCTCTGCCCATCAGCATACCTGCAGGGCTTCATGGCTCTATCCAGGAAGTGGGTATCATTTTCAGAGTAGCCATGTTGCAGCTATTCTAAAAATGGTGCTAGCTTTCAGGATGAAGCCACACAGCCTAGAGATGCTGAGGGGATGGAGTAGCTTACTCTCCTTTTCCAATGTGAGCTTGGGAGCTCTTTAGATGGCAAATAAACAATCGGTGACAAGAGTTGGGGTGGAGGGTGGGATCCAGTGAGGTGGGAAGCAGCCCCAAACCCTGTGGATACCCAGTGGAGTAGGAAAGTAGGCCCAGGGCCTGAAAGCACCTCAAGGGACAGATAGAGTAGCACAGGGTGCCTCGGGGTGGGGTGGGACCTTGAAAAACTTAGGGCAGACGATCCTAGGATGGGCTTTCACGGGCTTAGCCCAACCCTAAGACACCTTCCCCCACCACCACTTCTCCACTTAATGATTGTGTTCAGGAGAGCAGGGATGGTGATTGTTAAGCAAGGCAATCATCTGGGCACCTTGCTTAACAACCACCAAGACTTGCTACTATAATGGACAGACTCCATTACGGTCATAAGTCAAGGATTACCTATATTTGCTTTTCTACCATTTTCATCCAAGTGAGTCTGACATTTTTATTTCAGGCTATTTTTAAAGGTTACATTCTGTATCTCTATTGTATCTGGAAGGTGGTTTATTAAAACTATCCAAAATGATTGAAAGCAGTACTTACCTGTATCACTACAGCAGGCATTGGGTTTGCATTGGTTGTGGATGAAATGGTATTTGTCCTCGGTGATTTTACAGTACTGGGGGGGCATACAGATGAAGGTGGGGAAGTCTGACTTGCAGCCTCCTTGTGCACATGAACCTCTTCCAATTTTTTCTCTTGCTGAGTGGCACTAGAAAAAACATTCAGAATTGTGTGACATCTTTCAGATTCACTTCAGAAAGACTTTTTAAAAAACAAAATAACAAAATGAATTGCTTTGAAGCACACAGACATTTTCAAACAGATTAATTTTCTGCTTTGGAAATAAAGGCAACTACAGTCAGATCCAGAAATATTGGGACATCGACACAATTCTAACATCTTTGGCTCTATACACCACCACAATGGAGTTGGGATGAAACAAACACAATGTGCTTTAACTGCAGACTGTCAGCTTTAATTTGAGAGTATGTACATCCAACTCAGGTAAACTGTGTAGGACTTACAACAGTTTGCATATGTGCCTCCCACTTGTTAAGGGACCAAAGGTAATGGGACAGAATAATAATCATAAATCAAACTTTCCCTTCTTAATACTTGGTTGCAAATCCTTTGCAGTCAATCACAGCCTGAAGTCTGGAATGCATAGACATCACCAGACGCTGGGTTTCATCCCTGGTGATGCTCTGCCACACCTCTAATGCAACTGTCTTCAGTTCCTGCTTTTCCTTGGGGCATTTTCCCTTCAGTTTTGTCTTCAGCAAGTGAAATGCATGCTCCATGGGATTCAGGTCAGGTGACTGACTTGGCCATTGCATAATATTCCACTTCTGTCCCTTCAAAAACTCTTTGGTTGCTTTTGCAGTATGCTTTGGGTCATTGTCCATCTGCACTGTGAAGCGCCATCCAATGAGTTCTGCAGCATTTGGCTGAATGTGAGCAGATAATATTATCCGAAACACTTCAGAATTCATCCTGCTGCTTTTGTCAGTAGTCACATCATCAATAAATTCAAGAGAACCAGTTCCATTGGCAGCCATACATGCCCACGCCATGACACTACCACCACCATGCTTCACTGATGAGGTGGTATGCTTAGGATCATGAGCAGTTCCTTTCCTTCTCCATACTCTTCTCTTCCCATCACTCTGGTACAAGTTGATCTTGGTCTCATCTGTCCATAGGATCTTGTTCCAGAACTGTGAAGGCTTTGTTAGATGTTGTTTGGCAACCTCTAATCTGGCCTTCCTGTTTTTGAGGCTCACCAATGGTTTACATCTTGTGGTGAACCCTCTGTATTCACTCTGGTGAAGTCTTCTCTTGATTGTTGACTTTGACACACATACACCTACCTCCTGGAGAGTGTTCTTCATCTGGCCAACTGTTGTGAAGGGTGTTTTCTTCACCAGGAAAAGAATTCTTTGGTCATCCACCAGAGTTGTTTTCTGTGGTCTCCCGGGTCTTTTGGTGTTGCTGAGCTCACCGGTGCGTTCCTTCTTTTTGAGAATGTTCCAAACAGTTGTTTTGGCCATGCCTAATGTTCTTGCTATCTCTCTGATGGGTTTGTTTTGTTTCTTCAGCCTAATGATGGCTTGCTTCACTGATAGTGACAGCTCTTTGGATCTCATCTTGAGAGTTGACAGCAACAGATTCCAAATGCAAATAGCACACTTGAAATGAACTCTGAGCCTTTTATCTGCATATTGTAATTGGGGTAATGAGGGAATATCACACACCTGGCCATGGAATAGCTGAGAAGCCAATTGTCCCATTACCTTTGGTCCCTTAACAAGTGGGAGGCACATATGCAAACTGCTGTAAATCCTACACCGTTCACCTGAGTTGGATGTACATACCCTCAAATTAAAGCTGACAGTCTGCAGTTAAAGCACATTGTATTTGTTTCATTCTAACTCCATTGTGGTGGTGTATAGAGCCAAAGATGTTAGAATTGTGTCGATGTCCCAATATTTCTGGACCTGACTGTATGACTTTTGTTTCATGCTTTCAATGTTGGTTGATTAAGAGAGCGACCTGAATTAAAATATTCAAAAGGAATCATACTTACATAGTATTTTCTGTCTGGGGGTTATGTTAGGAGAAAACTTGCCAATTTTACTGGTGTTAGAACTAAAACATACAAAAATATATTTGTGCTTCTCTTGCCATACAAAATATTTATTGGTAATACTTGTAATTGGAAGACCAATCTCCATACCTTAATCCAGGAAGATCAATCCCATAGGGAGAACTGGCATTCGTGACAGGCTGAACAACACTTTGGCCCTGCTCTTCCTGAGTGGATGTTAGACAAGTAACTGTCAAATCTTTGTTTTCCTAAATAAAGCAAAAGGGAAGAAAGAATGTTTGCAAAAGTACAGGTTAAAAACTAAGTATGTTATTACAGAAAATAAAAATTAGGTATCATATAGGCCACAAGCCACCTCACAGCATTGAGATCAAGGACAGACAACTTATTGTGGCCCGAGTAGCAAGGAGCAAAGTGGGTAGTGCAGGAAATAAATAAATCATATTTGGAAATAAATCAACAAATATGAGCAAGGCTCAATCCAAAAACATTTAAAACAAGAACAAGGGGCTCCATCAACCCTATCTTAAGGCCTAGTGCAGCTTCATCTAAGATTGAAGACAGAAAGCAATGGAATTGGGGGAATGAGGAAGGCCTTCTCTGCTGTTGCTCCTACCCTCTGGAATATCTTGACTCCCAATGTGAGGTTGGCCCCAACCAGACTATCTTTTCCTAAGGGCCTAAAGACATGGCTGTGCCATTTGGCTTGGGGCTCCAGTGGGGGATCAGCGCAGAGATGGTTGATGCTTCACAGCCAGCTCTCACAAACCAAGTCACTGAGAAAGCCAGCAACTGGAAAGTCACACTCATGTCTTGTTGCGTTCAACAACTGCAGGTAATTTACTTATCAAATGCAGCGGAACAGACAAGTTATGCACAGTTATGAGATGTTTCAATTACAACCATGTCACTTAGCAACAACGTTGAGGGTCCCAATTGAGATTTGTTCATTTGTTACTGGGCAGTAATGTGTGGCTGAAGAACTGTAAGCCACGTTTTCCAACAATTTTTGCTTAATGCTGGATGTGAAAAGAACACCTTAAAATAAAATTTCATTTTCCTAGACTATACTGGTGTAAGCCCAGAATGTACTAAGGCTTTAATTTCTTGAATTTTAAAATATATACTATATATAAATTAAGCAAAAAGCAACTTTTGCAAAAGCTATCCGTTTTGCTCTTGCTCCTATAAAGGTAATATAAACAATATTTACTGTTTGGGTTCAAGCAAATGTAGTAAGGATGAATTAAGCATGTTTAACAATGTCAAATAATATAACGATAAAAAACTGTCATGTAAGATTAAAATTGAGAAAGAGAGAGAGAATGTGAAAAAAAAATACAATTAAGTACCTTTTCTTTGCTTATTCCTTTAACTATATCTGACATCCTATTCTCCAGAACAGGATCTCCTTGTGTTTTTATCATGCTGCCCGGCAATGGAGGGAAATTTGAGGCTAGCAAGTCAAACTTTGGTGTCAAAGTCTTGGTTTCAACTGAAGCCTGAGGTCGCTAAAAAAGAGAAGTAGCATGTTAATATGTATTATTCTCATTAATCTTATTTGCAAAAACCAGAGAATGCCATCAGACATTTGTACCCATTCCTAATTATTAGGGAGCAATTTAGCATTGGCAATTCTGGAATGGCTGAAGATTCAAAAGCTGACTGACTCTAGGACATTATTTGCTATAGCTGTAGATGAGCTTGTGTTTCCCAGAAGCAGCTGTTATGCCAACAGACTATGCACTGCTTTTAATGGAGCAAGTCAAAGCTATGGTCAGGAGGGCCTCTGCCCAGTTTTGGTGATGGACATATGTCAATTTTAGAATAGCCAACGCTGACTAGTCACTCATGGCATTGGTCTTTAAGAGTGGATTGCTTAATGCACTCAACATGGGACTGTTTTTAAAGACCACCTAGAACTACAATTAGTACACAATGAAACCACTCTCATATTAACCAGGACAACCCAATATTGATATATAATACTAATATTCCAACTGCACCATTTGCCAATTTGTTTCCACCAGAGTATAATTCAAAGTGCCTATGATCACTTCTGAAGTCCTACATAGCTGGAGACCTGGCTTTCTTTGAGGCCTCTTTGTGATGGCATCTCTAGCTAGATTGGAGGGCTGTTATAACAGACACAGCATCCCTGCGGTCACATGATCAACATTTAGGTGCTTGGCAACAGAGGTGGATTTCAGCAGGTTCTGACCAGTTCTGGAGACTGGTAGCGGAAATTTTGAGTAGTTCAGAGAACCAGTAGTAAAAATTCTGACTGGCCCCGCCCCCATCTATTTTACAGTATTGTTTTCCTGCCACGCCCACCAAGCCATGCCACACCCACCAAGCCATACCTACAGAACTGGTAGTAAAATATTTTGAAACCCACCACTGCTTGGCAACCAGTATTTATGATGGTTACAGCATCCCCGAGTCACATGATCACCATTTGTGACCCACCCAGAAGGCTCTGGCAAGCAAAATCAATGCGGAAGCTAGATTGGAAAAATGGTGGTTAAATCGAGTGCAACTCATTTAATGACTGCATCATTAGTGGTGGAAGTTCCGGTTTCAATTGTGGTTGCAAGTCAAGGACTACATTTATACCTGATTGTTACCTCAAGATTACAACTCTAAGGATCCTCTTGTATATTACCTGAACTGAATTATAGCAAATTGAGTTCCAATAAAACTTTCCCCGTGTCTTCCCATTTTACATCTTCTTTAGTTTATCATCAATATAATAGGTTATACTCCATTGTGCTGCAAAGCACTATGAAGCAATATATATGTCTAAATTCTATTACTATTGTTAATTTCACCATTCCAATGACAAATATTCTCTTGTTTCTTGACAAATTCTTTTTTTTAAAATAATTTTTATTAAACAGTTTAATTTTTTTTCTTTTTAGTTTTCTTCTTTACAACATTTTCACATCGGTATATTCTATTGCGTATTCATTCCCCCCCCTTTCAATTTACCTTTAACTGTACATGTGGTTCCATTAGTTTTTATACATATTGATATATTAATATATTAAATTACAATCATACATTTTGTGTCATTTCCATATATGCAAGTTTGTTACTAATTTCTAACTCCTATATCTTCCTCATTTAGTCTTTTCTTAACCTTTACATCTATCCTCTAACCATTTATACCATTTATTCCATACCATGCAGTATTCTGTTTCTTCTTTATCTTTTATTTCTTTTGTGAGTCTATCCATCTCTGCACACCCTAAGATTTTCCTTATTACATTTTCCTCTGATGGTACATTGTTATTCTTCCAATTTTGTGCGTACATTATTCTCGCTGCTGTTGTGATGTGTAAAATTAAATATTGTATTTTTTGTCACAATTCCCTGTAAATATTCCTAATAAAAATAATTCTGGTTTCATATCTATTTGTTGTTTGGTTATCTCTTCCAGGCATTTTCTTATTCTATTCCAATATTGTTTTACTTTTGGGCACGTCCACCACATGTGGTAATATGTTCCCTGCAAATTTTTTCTTTTATTCTTCTAGAATGTGTCAATTCAGGTGATCTGAAAACCTGCCAACCATTTCCTGTTTCAGAATACTTCTTTCTAGGAAACTATATCATATCATCCCCAGAATTGCTGCATCATTGCATTCAGGGAAAAAACCCAAACTATTCTGGGACAGTAAACTTTCAGTCTCTAAACCCAGGAGTCTGAATACTTCAAATAGAACTTGGGGGGAGGGGGGATTCATCATAACTTCAAGCACATATAAGATGGATTTCTTTGCTTATGTGAAAATGTTTCTGCAGCCATCTAAACGAATATTTAACGAACAGAAAAAGTAAGATATGTGATACTTCTGAAAGTTAGTTTGATTGCCTGAATTCTTATTGTAGTCCAATTTATAAGCAAAACTTTTACATTGTAAAGCATTTTTTAAAATTCACATACAATTCTCACGATGTCAGTATCATTCTCATCAGCTGGTGACTGATATGACTGCAGTAAAAGTAAATACTTACTGATAGTCTGTCATCTTCCCGTCTCCTCCGACCTCTGAAAAGGTTTCTTCTGCAAATTAGTAAGGAAAAGTGTCTGTGAATGTTTTATGTTTATTCATATGTGATATGAATTAATGACATAATAATACGAAGGCCTTACCTGCCTCTTCCCATGCCATAATCACCATTTTGTTCTACATGAGTAATTTGAGACTCCTTCTGTGTGTAGCTTGGCTCTTGATGTCCTGATAGTGTACTTGTTTGCCGCTCTGGCTGAAAATTCCGTAAAGTGGTTCTATGCAAGTGTCCATCACCTACTGAGACAGCACTGTGTGTGGAGGGTCCTTCTGATGAGTGTTCTGAGCTATTTGCCAACCGGAAATGAGACTTCACGCTGGATTGACATATAAAAACAAGTGAATAAATTCCTCCCACAACACAAATAAATTTCCCAAAAGAGCTCGGAGGAAGTTGATGTCTTAAGATACAAGGAAATGTGCCAGTATTTTTTTTTTTTATTGTAACTACATAGATCTGTTTGTCAAGAACTGGCAAGAACATTTCTTCAAATCAATTCCTAAACAGTACTCTCCAACCACAACTCTTCCCTAGGTAATTAATAAATGTATTACTAACTTAGTGTTTAAATAGGAAGGAAGGAAGGAAGGAAGGAAGGAAGGAAGGAAGGAAGGAAGGAAGGAAGGAAGGAAGGAAGGAAGGAAGGAAGGAAGGAAAACTAGTATCATATAATAGAAATGAATAATAGAACAAAATTCACTAAATTTAATAATTTCCAAAAATGTTTTCCATCAAAAAACTATTTCTTGCATCTCGGGTAATACACTTTAAGTTACAACTATTCAATCATGTAAAACAAGACGGTATATGGATGGTATATTGCTATGGATGTTAAAGAGATTACACTGAGCATATACTTAAGAGCAGAAAGACATGACTACACAAGTATGTAATACCGCATTTTCCAATTACATAAACACTCCCTATTTTGACTTACCATCTTGTCCATTTCTTTCTTAAATTCAAATAAATATTCTCACATTTATTTCATTTTCTTTTCCTTTTCTAGTTAGATTTGAATTTAAGGAATAATAATCAAATACTTCCTTTTTTCATTTGGGGGCTGGACAGCCACCTAAAGTTTAGACAACCAAGGATCTCTCTATCTTCCTTTCCCACTATCCCTATTCAGTGGCATAATAATATGAAACTGAGTTGATAGATAAATACAGGTAGTCCTTGACTTACAACCATTCGTTTAGTAACTGTTTGATGTTACTACAACATTGACAAAATACTTGTAAATTTTTCACTTACAACCATTGTAGCATTCCCATGGTCACATGATAAAAATTTGGAACGCTTGGCAACTGGTTCATATTTATGACATTTGCAATGTCCCAGAATCATGTGATCACCTTTTGCAAACTTCTCACAAGAAAAGTCAATGGGAAAACTAGATTAATTTAACAATCATGCTACTAACTTAACAACCACAGGTATTCACTTAACAACTATGGCAAGGAAGTTCATACAATGAGGCAAAATTTACTTATTTAGCAACAAAAAAATTGGGCTCAAAATGTGGTTGTAAGTCGAGGACTATCTGTACACAGGATAAAACAAAACAAATATATTTCTTCCTTCTTAAGAAGTTCCAAAGCAAAGTTCCAATCCTTTATCAAGGATTCTTAAGTAGATTTGAAATAGCACATCATTGCACTAAAAAAAGCCCTCTGCCAAGTTGTCACAGGCAGACATTTTTAAAAAGTGCTTTGATCTTACATCACAGGAATATTTGTCTCCCAAAAGTTTAACATACCTATTTGACACATTCCAAGATTTCCCCCCTGCCCCAATCCACCAAACTCTTGGTCCAAAACAAGCAATTCCATGATTAGATTTCAATGATATACATGGGTAGGGAACTGCTAAACATATGCGTTGCAATCTCAAACTGTAAAATGTGAGTATAAGTTTCTAATTAGTTTAGTGAAGTTCTTTTACAACTCAAGACAGTTTGTAAAAGAACTGGTGTTATTTTTTTTCTTCCACCATTCATTTATTTATTTATTTATTCTTTCTCATTTAAGGCTGCCTCAATGACATCAGGATTTTGGTAAACTGTTAGGATTATAAAATAATGCAACAAATAATTACCATAGCTGTGAAAAATGACTTCTTAGGGAAAATAAGAAAACAAATTCTATAAGCAATGAGCAAATGAAGAATTTTCAATTCAAAAAAAAATATTTCAAAAATATTTTCTTAAAATGACCTGTTGTCAGAAGATACTTAAAAATAAAAGAATGATTTGGGTATCATAATTAACACAACGGATCACCAACATGATCACCAACATCCAATGACAGATATGGCACAAGAACACAATGAAATTAACTAAAAAGAAATGAAGTTAGTTTTAGATTAAAACAAATGTAGACCAAAAAATTGCTGTAAATTAAAGATGATTCTTCTCATCAAACATAATATGTAGACTAAAAAAGCCAAAAACAAAGGGCCTTTGTTTGCAGCTGTCAAACTCAAAACCCAAAAATTTTTCAAAGCGAAACTACTTCTTTTAGATATGAAGAAAATAAAATACTGTATTTTTCAGAGTATAAACCCCCCCCCCCAAAAAGAGGGTGAAAATTTGGGTGCATCTTATACACCGAATGTAGCGAAAAACGCTTGGCACAGAGGCGGCAATGGTCTGTGGCAATCCCTACAGACGAACAGCTGATTGGGGGTATTCCAGGAGGCCGATCCACCCACCAATCAGCTGCTCGTGCTGAATCAGGCTGCAATAATGTGCTAAAGCTGACCTGGCTGTTCGCTATTTGCTGCAAGGACTGTCAGAGTTTGCAGCAGCAATCACATCCAGAAAGCACGCACAAGTAACCGATTCAGCACAATTCAATAACTTCTCTTTATATATAATATAAAGAGAATTTATGAAGTAAATATACAATACCAAAAGCAGGTTTCCAACGTGGTAGTAAATACAAGCAAAACACAAGCAGAGAGGAGTTTCAGTTTTAGTTTCAGAGATCAGCACAGCATGCAGCTTCAGAACAGTTGAGCTAAGCCATGCCCAGGCTCCTTGCTCTCTCTTTTCTTGTTGCTCACACAGAAAATACTGTTTCAGTTTCCAAACAACCCTCAACTCTCTCACACACTGACAGGACGCTAGCCAGATGAATACCAATGGATGCTGGTAGGCAGAGGCAGAATTTTTTTTTCTTATTTTCCTCCCCAAAAACTAAGGTGAGTCTTATACTCCGAAAAATACAGTATAAAACTGAAGAAAATATAATACAGATATGAAACTGAAGCAGGAATTGACAGGAATTAACTTATGAGTACAGATAAAATAACCACACTCTTTTATTGAATCAGTTTGGTGACTGTCCAATATAAACACAGAAGTTTTACTTTCCAAAAATGTTGGTGCCAACTTTCTTACCGATTTCTATGGAATGGGCGACCTATACTCAATGCTGCAGTATTTGTCTTGTATGAACCTGGTGAACTGAAGCCATTCAGAAATCCACCATTCGGAAACGGAGCCTGAAGTAAGCACGACATATATCATGAGGTTCACTGCAAACAAATAACTGAATACAAATTCTCAGAACTGCAATTTTAACAGCTGCACAGCTAAAACCAAGGAAGTATAAGTAATCCTTCTTGCTTAATGGTCACAGTTATGATAGAATCCTCCAAAATCTACTTATGATCCCGTTCTGGAGTTCTGACAGCATATTCCAGGGGTGTCAAACTCGATTTCATTGAGGGCCACATCAGGGTTTTGTTTGACCTTGGAAGGTCAGGGGTGGGTGGGGCTGGGGATGGCCGAGGTGGGCCCAGCCCCCCAAGCTCCGTTTTCGCTTGCAGAGGCACTGCGAGCCAGTCCTTTGATGTTTCCAGACCGGTCCCATGGGCCAGATTTAAGCACCACATGGGCCGCATCCGGGCCACAGGACTTGAGTTTGACACCCCTGGCGTATTCCCATGGTCACATGATCCATATTTCAGGCACTTGGAAACCGGCATACATTTATAGCCAATTACAGCATTCCAGTCACATGACTGCAATGCTTTTTCTGGTTTCTAACAAAAACTGCCCATAGGAATGAATGGATTCATTTTATGACTACAGCATTAGCATAAAGACTGCTGCAAAAACAACCATACAATTGAGTTGGTCACATGAAGGCCTTGACTTATAACTGTCATGACTTACAACATAAATTCCAGGCTCCATTACAGTTAAAGTCAAGGACTACCTGTATGTATTACACTATATAATTTCCACAATAATTGTTGTTACAATATAAACTTGGATGCCTATGCATTGGTTGGAGGTATGCTCCAATTTATTACTTTTGGAAAATAATTTCTAAAATAATATTGATATAGCAATGCAATGAAAAGATAAATGCAAACCAGATTATCATTTAAAATAAAACACCTGCTCATGAAACAGAAGCTTTTGTTTCTGAATCAACAACCCTGTGGAGTTCAAATATTTAAACAGTTCAAAAATATAAAATTAGGACAATGCAAACTGCATTTCATTATATTCACTATTAAAACAGATCTGACTATTTTCTATTAGAGTTCTATCAATACAGGTAGTCCTCGATTTACAACCACAATTAATCCCAAAATTTATGTTGAGACATTTGTTAAGTGAATTTTGCCTCATTTTACAACCTTTCTTGCCACAGTTGTTAAGGAATCACTGCTGTAGATAAGTCAGTAACCTGGATGTTAAGTGAATCGGACTTCCCATTGATTTTGCTTGCCAGGAGTGATCACATTACCTTGTGATCATAAACATGAACCACTTGCCAAGCATCTGAATTTTGATCACATGATCATGGGGATACTGCAAAGGTCGTAACTTGGTCATAAGTCACATTTTTCAGTGCTGTTGTAATTTTGAACAATCACTAAAGGAACTGTTGTAAGTCGAGGACTACCTGTAATGAAAATAGTTGTTTATATATTTGATAATGATTAATTTGTGCCACTATATTTTAGTTCCAGAGTAGCATCCTGAATTTGTGAAGAACACTTTTGTCTGCCAAACAGTTGCACTGTTTGGCAATCTATATGGTTTGCCAATCTATATGGTTCTGGAAACCCCACTTAGCTATAAGCATAAATATTTTCTATTTGGAATTTAAATGACTGTATAATTCCCTGGAGCTATCAGTGTTCCACTTCCCAAGCAACAAAAAGTGGAATATGCAATTCCAACATCAATTAAATTCTGTATGAGGGTCAAATGACGTTCATTACAGGACAGGGGACTTGGTATTATTTAAGACAGAGATATATATTTTGAAGTAAAGCAAACACTGCAAACCACAAATGTTAAGTACTTACCAGGGGTGTTTCAAAATAAGGTGCAGGGTTTGGAGACCATGTCTGAGGCACAATACTATAGATGGAGTACTGCTGAGGACTGTATATAGGCTGCATGAACAGTGGTGAGGCAAACTGTGCTTGTGTTTGAACCGGTTGAACATAAACATTGGAATCCACTACCCGGTAACCATTCTTTGCAAAAAATGTGTTGATGGCTTTTATCCTGGCCTGTGTAAGAAAGTTTAAACTGGGCTATATTTATCATACCAAATATAAAGACTGTTACAGGACACAAATGTTACTATTTGTATTTCATCTGTTTCCTAACAGGTTGTCCGTAGCTTTACCTTTTAACCTTTTGTTAAAATTTTGGGATCGGCAATTAAAAATGGCAATTCAAATTAGTTCTTGATTATTTCTACAACCAACTTAGATTCTTTGCTGAGCCACTTTGCAGAATGTCTTGGGAGCAACTGCAGTTCAGTTTAATAGATACGCTTTTCAATCACTGTCTGGAACAAATATTTCTTCTTTTTTTAGTCTCTCATGTTCAATTTTTATCAAGATTTTACCATGACAAGATTACTCTTGCAATTAAAACTGCCACAAAATTATATGATAAATAATCCTTTGTAGTCTTATTCATAGTTAACCATAACATAGTTAACTTTGAATTAAACCAGAACTAAAGTTGGTGCTTCAAAATATTACATCTATGATACCCTGTAGAAAAACAATCAGAAAGGTTATGATAATCATATTAATGAAAATCTAATAGTGATTAAGAAGTTATAAGTATAACTTACTGTTTAAGTATTAAACTACAACTTGAGGTATACAACAATAATAAAACTTACCATTATTGGCTTGCCCTGAAACGTTTTAACTTCTTCCCGTAAATATTTAAAAGCCTGTACAGATATAAAAATATCCAATGACAGATCAGTATAACAACATTTTCAAAAACATTAAAGAACTTCCAGGATCAATTTCAAGCTGAAATATAAGTAACTCTACAGCACTTTTTATTACTTCTGCAACATTTAAACTTTGTTGTATTTATTAAAGCATTAAAAAAATTACACCACCTTCTTTTCCCATATTTTCTGAAACAAATATTTTTTCAAAAATCATGTGTAGATTTTTCTTTAAAACAACCAATAATTTTCTCTATTTAAAGTTATGAATCACATCCCAGAAATAAAGACCTGTGCAAAACAATATACCTAAGATAAATGATAAAACATCAGCTATCTTACCTTTAACTAAAATTCAATGTCATCAGTGTATTCAAAACTAATGAATCTGAAAGTTCTGGAATTTTCTCTAGCTGAGCAATGAGAGATTAGAGACCTTATGCAATGGCAGAGGAGAGGGCAAAGGAAAGCATAATTCTATCAAAAGAAGAACCAGCACTGTCTGAGATTGAGCACACAGTGTCTCACCAAACTGAATGGGAGATACCACATTACATTTTACATTTAAGTTGTATATATAAGGTCTGACATTCAGGCACGGTGACATTCTGAGTGAGGTCTCTCTCAACATCAACCTGCTGGGAAATTCTCCTGATTTCACATTTCAGATGAACACAAGTTGTTCTTGCTGCAAAATGAGGGCTAAAGAAAGTGGAAGAGGTACCAAATGGATCAATGGAACTGAAGAAACCATAGCTGTGATCCTGGGACAGGAAGAATTTCATTTGGACTTTTGGAAAACAGCAATGTGTGCAGTGGCACATCTTCTGCCATTTACTGACTATTTACAATCACCTAGCTGCTTACAATCATCAATGTCCTTACCTTTTGGAATACTGAAAGTGGAGGAAAGAGATTTTTTGCTGGGATAGATGGTATCAGGCAGTTTTAGGTAGTATTAAGCAGCAATTAGTGGGCTGCAGTCAGCATAGGTACTTTTTGCTAAGCTTGGATAATAGGACCCAAATGGAGTGCAGACAACTTAAGATTTCAAATGCTTTGTCATTTTACATGATTTTGGTGAAATTGGAAGTAGGTCTGAATGAGTGGAGGTTGGAACCCTGTAAACTAGGGATAGGGTCAAAGTAATTGACCTGTATGACTGTAGTAAGCAATTCTGACAAGGAGCATGATTTCTGCAAAGCAAAACTAGATATCTGGGGGCTGGGAAAGATAACCAAGAATCAGTTTAAAACTACAGATCCTAACACAGGTTATTTTGTTTGCTTTTAGAGAATGGAAGAAAAATCTCAGACCAAAATGTTAAACAAAAGATCCTCACAAGGTCATCAGAATAACAAAAAACAGAATTTTGGTGAACTTGGTTTTAGACATATAGTTTAGGGGGAAAGGGACTACTGCTTTTCAACTAAACTAGAGAAAATTCCAGAATGAAATTACATACAGACCTAAAGCCTTTAGTGAGGTTCAAAGAAAGCACAAAATATATCAAGTCACATCAAACAGGATTCTAATACAGCAAAGACATTTCCTAGAAATGGGAGTCTTGTTTGGTTTGGTTTAACAAAAGACTTGATTTGACCATGTTCTAAATAATTTCATTTTCAAAGCTGCAAATCTGTAGAGCTGCAGAAATCTTATGAAACTAATTTGAAGAGCAACAATCTATAGAAATGCTGAAAGAGTCTAAAATTCAATGTGCCTGTTTAACAAAAGGAGAACAAAAGGATTTCTTGCCACACTGAAGAGATCGAACACCAAATATTTCCAATCACTTTCAGATTAACTGAATGAGAACATGCTTGAAGGGGAAAATAGCAAGAACATGTTTGCATATGTACTACTGGTTAAGAGTAGGTTGTTTATTCATAATCTTAAGAAATAAGTTCCCTATAAGCTTTATTAAGATTCTGATGCTTTTGCTCTGCCTATGTTTCTGAATATATAAATACAATCTATTTTTATTAAATTGATTTATTTAAAAGCAAGAATTCCAAACTGCTTTGACTTATCTGAGACACTAGAAAAAGACAGAATTCATTAGGGCAATGAAATTCAGAACGCATAATATTCTTACCTGCTGCGCGTCAGTATCTGACTGGAATGTAACGTACCAGTTGTTATTGTGAGCAAATTCACAACTTATAACTTTGGGACAGCTTTCATTCTTAAACAGTGCTTTTACCTCCTGGATAAAATATATAAAGACTATTTCAGTGAATTATGTTACGATAACAATTATGTTTTTTAAAAAATCCTATCCATGCTGGAGAGGATTTTAATTTCTGCAATAGTTTGAAAATTACTGTTTTCATTTTAGTTTCCAAACAATGGTTAATATTAAGTATATAAAATCATTCTGTGACTTTCCAAATCAAGGTGCCTAGGAAATTAACAATTTTTTAAAAAAATAATACTCATTCACAGCTAAGAAAAAGTCATTATTCTTTACAACTAGCAATGCTGACATGATACCTTTTTAAAAAGGCAAATTACATGAAGATACTTGCTATAAGAATGTGGTAAACAATCAGGTATTTTAAAAGTACAATTGTTGCGAAATATTTCTATTCTCTCAAATCTAGCTCAAAACCAAGATGTAGCTTAAATACATTACCATCTCTCAGTTGCAAACTTGTATCAAATATAAACTACTTTAACCTACTGGTTATTGTCCTGCAAATGAACTTGTTTTCACATTTTAAAAGACACTTACCTCTACTGGTGTGGTTTCAGGGATCTCACGAAGGATAATAATGCAACGCTTATGATTTGGTCTAACTTTCTCTCCTTGCTCGTCCACTTGGACTATAGGAGAAGCTAAATTAAACAGAACAGAACTCTGTTTATTGAAAATACACTGAGAAAGCAAATTTCAAATTCGCTAAAACAATATGGTCACTGTTTAGTACTCAATGTATGTAACTGCTCATTCTTCTGTTAAGAGTATTATCACCTGGCACAACAGATTTTATGTATGCCACTAAAATACTATTCTGTATTTATGGGTATAATACACTGTACTGGGGCAAATTTCAGGTTTATTTTAGAAAATACATCTTTGGTCAACTACAGATAGTCCTCAATTTATACCAGGATAGGAACCAGAATCTCAGTCACTCAGCAAAGTAGTTAAGCAAAAAGTTCATGTGACTGCTTTACTCAATAACTGCAACCCCAGCATTCCCAGTTGCAGTCATTAAGCAATCTTCTGGGTCATTAAGCAGACACAGCAAAAGAACTGCTTGCTGGGATTAGCTCCCCTCTGCGCATGGAAGAAAACTTCTCTGGTGGGTTACAAAACACAGTGTGGACCTTCAGGATCTAAGCTCCATGTTTGTATGAAATTCAGCTCTCCTGTGTGGGGAAGGGAACTTTTCTGGTGGACTGTGGGAATGGAACATGGACCTTTGGGACCTGAGCTTCATTTCTCCACCCTGCTGAAGGAGTTTTGTTTCTCTTGGCAGGCTGCTCCTTCAGCCAGTCCCCAGAGATGAGAGGGAATCCTCTTGGCAGGCAGCAACAGCTTGCAACCTTCTCTGCTGGCTTCCCCATTGACTTTCTAGAGAAGCTGGCAGAAAAAAATGCAAATGGCTATCACATGATCATGGGGCACATGGCAAACAGTCATAAGAGCCGCAGTGGCACAATGGTTAGAATGTAGTACTGCAGGTTACTTCTGCTGACTGCCTGCAATTTGGCAGTTCAAATCTCACCAGGCTCAAGGTTGACTCAGCCAAGGTCGGTAAAAAGAGGACCCAGATTGTTGGGGCTAATATGCTGATTCTGTAAATAGCTTAGAGAGGGCTCTGTAAAGCACTGTGAAGTGGTATATAAGTCTAAGTGCTATTGCTATAAGTACAAACAAGTTCTAATTACTCAGATGCAACCACTATGAGTGGTGGTGGGAGGGATATTTTATGACAACTGGAAGTTTTAAATGACTGGTTGTAAATCCAGGGAAACCTTGCTTATCTCTTGCCTCATTTGCCAAAGTTGGGATAGTGCTGAACAAGTAGCTTTACGACGAATGCCTGCATTTGTGCCTTCAGAGCATGTCTTAGTCACATGATTGTCATTGTAGTATGTGATCCTGTGTCTGAACTGTTGGTTTTATATTCTGTCCCTTCCAGAGAGTTAATAGTGTTACATGATGTCATCATGCCACATGACCAGAAATGTCTTCAGACAGTGCTGGCTCAAGCACCTTGAAACAGAAATGAGCACCGCCTCTTATAGTCGGCAACAACTAGCAGAGTAAAATCCACAGGGATTCCTTTTCTTTTTTTTAACCTCCAAAGAGATGGGAGAAGAAAGGGTTACAAGAGGGTTAGCAGACACACAATGGGGAATACATTTTGAAAGAAATACACTGGTGCCAATTCTGAATACATACACAAACAGTCCAGTGTATCTGCTAACACTCTTGTAATCCCTTTCTCTCCAATCTCTCTATTCTGCAAGGGGAATGGAGAGAACAAATGAGTCAGGTACCAAAGAGATTGCTTTTTTTTTTTTTCTAAACTCGGTAGGGCAGATTACTTAAATGGGGAGGGCAAGCAATATCTAGTTAGTCTCTCTTGTACCTGACCTATTTTTGTCATCCCTTTTTGTCAAAGAAAGTAGCTAAAAACATCAATTCCCTTCTTGCTAATTATCCAAGTGCTAGAGTGATCATTTCAAAGGATGGGTGAGAGAAGAAAAGGGAAACACAGGCATGTGATTTCCCACTTAGCAACATCATCAATTAAAGACAGAACTACTGGTCCCATCTGTAGTTGCTAAAGAAGGAATACCTCTATATCCATTTCTATGTAATAACAAGATCAGGACAAGAGATTCATATAGAATAACAATTCTATAGAATTCACAGAGAAATCAGATTTTTATATACCTCTTAGTACTTCCACAATAAGATCCATATTGGTTGTCAGTTTCTTAATTCCTTCCATATTGGCAATAGTCCATATTGGAATAAATTGATCACTGTCCATCTGAGACATCAAGTAAAGATCCTTGGATAGATTCTCACTAGAAATAAATTAATAAACATTTTATGGAACTTTTAAAAAAACCAATACTGGTACTATTTTCTTTTCAAAAGAAATTAAGCTACTAACCCCAGAAATAGTTTAAGCAGTTAATAATACAACCCAGCTACTTTTAAAGGATGTACTATTTTTAAACAAAATCTTGATCATATTCCCAAATTAAAGAATTACCATAGCAATATAATCTGATATTATTACTGAAAAATAGTTTCAGATTTAGGGTGAAAAAGTAGACGGCTCTAAACATTTTAAGTATTTCTTTGCTCCCACATCACATCATCCAGATTATTCCAAGATGGTTTTGGCAAGCGTTTATTAATGCATTACACTAAATTATGAATATCATTCCTGACTAGCTTGCAGCAAACCTTGTTTTAGCAAAATAAAAAACCTGGATGGAAAGGGAGTCCATTATTTCTCTGAATCAACTATATCAAAGTGTACATTATCATAGCAACGCAAATTAAACATTTTAGGTCATTAATGATGTGAAATTATGCAAATAATTTGGATCATTTGTGTAATGATATAATTACACCAATTATGTAAACTGCAATGGTCTGTTCCATATGAACCCCACTGCATCACAGTCCAGCAAACTGAGGTTTTACTTTGGCAACTGTATTTAAAATTAAAGAATTCAAATTATTTATCCCCAAGAAAGCAGGGACAGTTATTAGAAAAATAAACTATTTCTCTATTTTATTTCAGGGTATTTTAATTAAGGTATGTTTAGATCAATCTGACTTCACAACTATATCAAGGTCTTATTATTAGCACTGGGAGCCTCTAGAGATCTCTCATATTAGATTTTCAAATTAATTTCTTATAAAATATCCACAAAGCATGCCAAGTGGCTCTATTTAGCTGAAACTAACCTCATGAATACACTAATATAATCAAAAGGCACAATACCGTGAGAAACAGAACTCTAATTGTTTCTTCAAGCATTCTTTTAAATCTTCTGTGGAAATGACAGGGTTGCCTTCACCTGAGAAAAAAAATCCAAGAATATATTGTCTAAAATCAGGAACTTATATTTAGTTTTTATCTCTACTGACAGAAAGCAGTTGTAACACACTTCTCCCTAGCTCCTAACACCTTTCTGAGAATATGGTGTTGAAGATTAGGGAATTCTTAGAAAGCAGAGGCTTTGAAAACACGTATCTTACTTCCTTTCTCCTTTCAGCAGTGTTGGATCAAAGGATATCAATAGCCAAAAAAGTTTTTTTCTTCATGGAGGACTGGTGGAATTGCAGTAGGGCAGATTTATTAAGAACATCAAACTTAACAAATGATACCAAATCCCCAATACCTGGGCTGCAATCAGTTATTTATAACTGCACCTAGTAATTACTGTTCCTTCTTTTTAAACTTTATTAATTATACAACATTGGTTTGTAGTATTTACGGTGTTCTAGGTATATTTTGAACAAAGAATTATTCTATTAATATCAATTGCATTTAAACATTCTTTATAGGATTGCTGCTGTCACTTAGGGTCTATAAAGCAATCAAATTAGAGCTAATGTGATAGTGAACATAATTCAAAAATATACAGGGCTTTTTACCAGAAATCTATAACCCACAAATACTTGCAATAGTCTATTTGCCTTTAGATACTAATTCAAATGTTAGTATCTAAATGTTAGTATCTTCAAATGTTTTGAAGAAGAAAAAAACAATTATCACCTGGAAGAAAATCTTACATGCAATTTACACACAAACAATAAAATTAAACAGGCTTCCCATTTTGTTGTTGCATAAGCACAAATAATGCAAAATGAGACTATGGCACAAAATTGAATTGGGACACCAATATAGCAAACAAGAAATAAAAATATATACATATTTTTTAATAGTAAACAGTTAATAATAAACAGAAAGCATGAAAAAAGAACAAGCCATTTGTCCTGAAATTATTTTCAATCTAGTGTCCTTTAAAAACATTTAAAAGAAGAGAAATAAAACAGGACCTTGTCTTGCCTGGGAAACTAAATTATAATTTTCAACTTTTCAGTAAACCCCTTAAACATGATGTGTGGGGTGCGGACTGGAATTCAAACACTTAAAAACATTTTGGTGTGGTTTCAAAGCTGCAATATTTTTTCTTTGTATCTTTCTTCAAAAGCAAACAACTGAAAGAACTGTACCTCAGAATATATACAGAATACCTCCACTAGAATTGTGAAGTTAGAGGCAGCCATTTAGGTCACTTCACTGTTCAGTGAAGGAATCCAAATTAAAGCCTGGCTATCAAGTCTCAATGATAATACAGCCCCTGAAGTGGATCATACCACTTCCTTGGGTATTTGATTCCATTTATCAATTGTTTTCACTATTAATACACTTTTAACATTGAATTGAAATCTATCTTCTTGTAACAAATCTTCACATTCTGGAATAATACCAAGAGAATCACAATCACAAATCTGTGTAACATATTTTCAGGAATCTGGGTAGTGCTATATGTCTAGTTTTTGCTTCTCAAAGCTTAACTAACTTGGGTCCTTCCCTCTTCTCATAGCAATTTGAATCAATTAGAATCTAGTTCCCTGTTTCCCTGTTCCCTGATTCCCTAGTCATCCCTGTTGCTCCTCCTTTCCTAAGTGATCCAGTTTTTCCAGAACTCCTTTAAAGTACAGAATTCAACAACTGCTGTCAATTTTGGGATATAATAAAAATAACAAAACACAAAATTAAATGTATTAATTATTTGGAAACTATACTTTTCGCATTGACACCTGCCTCACAGCGGTGGCTCCAGCAGCCCTGTCCAATAGGACCCCGCGTGGCCGCTGGGCCACTTCTGCTTAATTACAGCCGCAATGAAGCAGGCCAACCGACGCGCCAGTGCCGCAGCCACAAGGTGAGTCTAGGGGTGGAGCTGCCCCACACTGGCTTACCTCAGGGCCCCCGAAACCAGCCAGCCATGCCCTGACACCTGGTTTGGCTCACCGCAGCGGCACCAGCATACTGCTTGACTTCCTGCTTCATTGTGGCCGTGAGCAAGCAGAAATGGGCCAGTAGGCACGTGGGCTCCTGCTGCACATGGTTGCTGGTGCTGCCGCTGCAAGGCAAGGCAGGTGTCGGGCCTGGATGAACTGACTGTAGGAGTCCTGAGGTAAGTTGGTGCAGGGCAAGTGGGGCAGCTCCCCACATACACACCCGTGGCCATAGCACTGCGAGCACCAGACAGAATGGCCGGCCAGCTGCGCAGACTCTTAAGTAGGGCTTATTTTGGGGATAGTTTTTATTAGGCGCATGTAAAAAACATGCTAGGGCTTATTTTCGGGATAAGTATTATTTTTGGGGAAACAAAAATACTACTGCCACTATCCAAGTTCTGAGATATCAATAATCTCAAACACTATACATAACTGATACTGAGGGTATACACAGTGTGTATGTACTTTCAGAACCTATGTAATACACTGCATAATTTGCCAATGCATTCAGAATAACATTTCATTGCTGTTCCTAGTTTTAATCAATGTAGGTTTTCACAATGTAGACTATTTACCAGAAACATCATAGAGTGGATATCCAAGTTCCTCATGTGCTAAGACCAGACCATTAGCAGCTGACTCTTCAGCACATGTACTGTTTCTTGACAATTCACAAGATGAATACATTGCTTCATATTGTTTAGTACAATCCTCTGCAGCCTCAGTATTGCCTGAAAGAGTACAAGAGCAATCAATGGGAAATAAAGTCTAGTAGCATCCCATCCTTATATAAAAAGCTAATATTTGAGAACCTCTTGTGAGAGAGCAGGCTGCCCAGAAAATGGCTGTGCTGCTATAATCCTTTCTCTTTAAGCATTCTCCGTAGCCAGCACTGCAACCTTGGATATAAAAGCTGTGCTGAGAGGCAGCTGGTGGTGTTATGTGGGAGCAAAGCCGTTAGATAAGAGATAATTGTCTCAAGGAGTAGGAGTAGGACTTATAAGGAGTAGTTGGAGTAGCAGTAGTAGGAATAGTTGTAAATTGGATATAATTAAAAGAACCTGTGAGACCTCTAAGTACAAGGCTTTTTTTTTTAAACCAATCACTGTGCTCAGATATATAGGTTAACTTAACTTGGATGCATCCACCAATTTTGGCTCCCCCCCCCAATATTTTTATATAAATGACAACTTAAAGGACTGTCAAGGATACTAGACAATAAGAACTATACCACCTTCTCTCTCCCTCCTACTTTTTACAACCCTGTAATCCTTTCTATATGTCCTTCATTCTTCAGATTACAGCTGTGAAACAACTCCAAAAGCTTGTTTCAAAAGACAAAAAAGGCAAACTGTGATTCAGTTATTTATATTTAGATCTTTTCTACAGATATTTGGAAACCACCAAGACAAAACACGTAAACCAAAGTCCCCAAGGCACCAGTGAAAACACCAAAATTTTAAGTGAGCTCCGTAACCCCTTGAACATAGATTGTATCTCACCTTTATTATTTTATCAGTAATTCAAGGCAGCAAATACACCTAATATTCTTTCCTTTCTCCTGTTTTAACCACAACAACCCTGTGAAGTGGGTTGGCTAGAGAGAGTGACTGGCCCAAAGTCACATCCACTTGGTTTTTCATGCACAAGACAGGACGAAAAGTCAAAGTCTCCTGTTTCCTAGTCAAGCACCTTAATTACTACAGCAAAGTTGGCTCTAGGCCAAATATGAGCTACTATATTAATTTTTTTACTGTGACAAAAAAATATTAAACACAAAGAAAGTAACCATACTACTCAGTTTAATGGAGAGGGAAGAAATATTTGCTATTCATGAATGTCTGCTAAATAAGAAAGGACATTATAGTGGTGATTTACTTGAGTGATGGCACTGGACAAATGGTAGCATCTATCAATTTATATCATTATGATGGTGTCATTATACAACTCTCATAAGCCATTATGTACATTTAAATTTTAGCAACTACATATAAAGTTTGTTGCAGAAATCCAAAAAAAATTAGTATTGTTATTAGTTAGTTATATATTTTATATACATGTTATTCTTTTATAGTTTTTAATGTTTTTAATAATTTATAATATTTTAGGTAATTATTTTATATTTGTTTTATATTTATTGCTTTATTGGATTGTTGTACGCCACCCAGAAACACTTTCAATGCGATGAGGGGCCATATAAATTTGATTAATAAATATTTCTATATTATCTCCTTAGCCTCTCATCACCCAGCAACAATTAGCCAAACGAATTCACATAAATACTGCAAGATACTTAAGAGTCAGTAATCTCTTACTTAGCAGCTTCTACATGTCAAATAACAAAATGAAGTTTATTCATAGTGCAAATAACTGATGATGAAATCAATGGCCTGATTCCATAATAAATTATTTACTAAATTGCTCATTATTCTAAGGAAGTAGGAAGGATTGTACATGGCCCTCAGATCTCATAATCTTTTTGTTCATAGGGTCAAGTGTTCACTAAGGTGCAGAAATGAGAAAAAGATCAAGACAAAAGTGAGACAAGAAAAGAAAGAGGAGAAGAAAGAGAAAGAATAAGTCAAGAGATCATTTCTGTACATTTAGCAACATGATCCCCTCTTAGCGCGATACTTGGTCATCACTGGGCCACTAACAGTCCTAAAAAAATTACTCTTTTCAAATATCTTAGCTAACTTTTCCAAAGTTAATGCCTCATGTTATATGCCGTTGGCATTCAGTAGCTATCACAGGCTGTTCAAGAACAAGATTTGCTTCTTACTACTAAATTCTGGTATTAGTGTTACATGTAGAATTCAAAACTAAGAAAGGAATTAAATAGCATTTAGATATATCAACCTGACATCTTACCTTCTGTACAATTACCCTGCACAGCTGCTGCCTCTTGCCATGATTGCTCAGTGCCGTTAGTTACTGCTGCAGCTTCTGGGTTTCCCTGCATGCTTTCTTGCCATACCTTTGCATTAGGATTTAAGCTGGCACCTTTCGAGGTTACCTGCTGAGAAAACAGAAGATATGCATTAGAAAATAATAAAAATTTCAGAAAATAACTTTGGATTGTTTTTATTGCTCTTTGCTGTTCAATCATTCTACTCAGGCAATCTACAGTTTAATAAATACACTTGTGATTTATCATTGCATGCAATTGAGTAAATTTAGGTTCCATGTTATTCCTCAATTTCAAAGCACTCAGTTTAGAGTATAAAATACTGTAAAGTTCTTCTGGTCATTCAACCATCTGCACATCTCAGGTTTTACTATTGGCATTCAGTAAAGCCCAGTTCTTCAAAGATTTTAGGGTGTCGTTCCCCCCTCCCCTGCAATCTTGCTTACAGCCTTTTCACTCTCTTTTGTGAAAGCCCAAACCTTATACACTGAAAAAATACTTTCCTGAACAAAATCACATCTCAAAATACAACACAAGAAAAGCCTCTTTATTAAGGCAGCATAACGATACTAAACAAGCACTGACCATCTTGCCACAGAGAAGCACAAGCCAGAGAATAAGGAAGTTGAATTTCCAGAGTCTAGCCTTCTGGAGTCTCTCTAGCATCAAGGAGTAGTTTTAGTACCATCCCCTGTCCATAGAACAGAAAAAAATAGGACATAAGGAAACAGTTTGGATGGCCATTAATATACTTTTGCTCCTATACAAGTTCAAAAATTCTAACAGCTGTTAGTTTTGCAACTAATAAACTACCTACACAATTTGTCCTAAATCTCTCCATTGTGATATTTGAAGGAGTTATTTTGAAAAAGTAACCCATGCTTAGATTGTATTTAAAATTGAGTTTTATCTATATTTTCCCTTAACATTTGCCCCAAAAACATTCTTAAAAAATGAAATTAATGTGTAAAACTTTAAAACAAGACTGTTCTCCACATTAATCCCACAAGAATCAACTAATTAATTAACCTAGGACAGCAAAAAAACAAACAAACCAGAACTTAATTAGTGCATCCTTGTTTCATTACATTAGTTTCCTTAAGCACCTGTTTCTGATCAAACAGAAGTTTCTACACACCGTGTTACTATAATAAAACTCGATTTAATTGGCTAATGTACAAAGAAGTGCATTCCAAAGGCAGAAATTCACATATAAATGACTGGCATGGAAAACAATGCTATTTAGTCATTATATTTTAAGTACAAAGTATAATAAGTGCTCCACATAAGAATTCCAATACTCCTAAAAAGAGCAGGAGTAAAATAAATGTTTGCTGAGTATTCCTCAGGCATAGAACTAAGGATAGCTTTTTTTGCAGGATTCATTTAGTTCTGGATTCTGCAATATGACTGACATTGCCCATGTATCATTCAGTATTAGAAAAAGTACATTTTAATGTAATTATAGAAATTGGATGCACATATAAAAAGTAAAACACCAGCCTCAAGTATATTAAAGCTTTGGCTATATACAGGCCAATGGGCATTCTTAAAAATAAAATAGAATTTTAATGTATGGGCATGCCATGATTTTGAACAATTCAGTGAATCCGTACCAACGGCATTGCTAATTATCATTCTGAAATACTTTCATTTTTAAAAGAGCTATCCTAATCCACAATCTTACAAGTGGGTAAATAATAATGCTATAAGGGTGACTACTGTACATATTTTTTAATGACTAGTAGTTTTTTATAGTTGGCAGGACTTTCTTATAATACTACTTTTTGAGGGTTTGAAATAATTTATAAGGATAAACATTTGTTTAACTGTAAATTAAATTGATGTTTACTAACAATAATAATCTTTAATGAATAAACTCAAACCATAATTAAAATCATGGTTTCATTGTACCAATTTCCTGCTTCTTTTAACAATCCCAAATTTTCATATATAAGATTCAGCTGAAATCTAAAGCAACACTGTAGCTTACTTTTACAATGTGCTGACAACTCATGACTAAGCAGCCTTGAAAACAAAAAATAGTGTGGTATGTCCAAGTATTCAATAGTTTGGATTAAGAACCTGTTACACAAGGCTATCTTTCAGTGAAAATATTTCATAATATAGCTTCTATTTTTATGCGGCCTATATTAGCCTGTAATACTTTCCCCTTTTTAAATATTTAAATTATTGCAAACATTAAAAAAAGTCAATGCAGAATTCATACAGCTTGTATGGTAATAGAACATGAAGAGATGTATCCCCACTCAACAAATCAAGCAGATGTAGAGACCATGTCTATCAAGACGACTACCAAAGCTACAACTCTCTCAAAATCAATACACAACAGAATGATCTGTTACAATAATCCTAAAATACCATCCTTGAATCACCTATGTCACCAATAAATAAGTACTGCATGTTTTTAAAAATGTACATCTAATTCAGCTCTAGCTCTAGACATGCTTATTAGACAAGTAACCCCTTTGGATGGACATAACTAATTCTGCATAAATCTAGTCCTTGATCTGTGTTCACAATTGGGACAGGAAAATGAATTTTTAATATATTGAAATTCATAATACCCTCCAGATGATCTCTTAACAAAAAAACCAGCAATACTTTTCTACCTATTATAATTCCTCTGTTGTTGCTATAAATAGTATTTTAAAAGCACAACTATCTTCACAACAAAAACACTATTGGTTGATAAATTATTAGACAACCATGTGTGAATCAGGTCAATGGCTTGTTCACACTGTTGTTTCTTGATTAAGTCACAAAGGTTTGGAAATGGAACAATCTTATTCTTATATCAATTATAAAAATTGCCTAAGTTGCTGTGGGGAATAGATTTACAGCCACAATTGAGCCCAAAATTTCTGTTTGCAAAACAAGACAGGTGCTAAGCAAGTTTTGCCCCGTTTTACAACCTTTCTTGCCATAGTTAAGTGAATCACTGAAGTTAGTAAATTAATAACACAGCTGTAAAGTGAATCTGACTTCCCCATTGACGTTGCTTGTCAGAGGGTTACAAAAGGTCATATAATCACATGATCCTGGGACACTGCAACTGCCATACATACATACCAGTTGCCAAGTGTCTGAATTTTGATCATATGACCATAGGGATGCTGCAATGATAGTGTGAAAAATTGTCGTTAGTCATTTTTTTCAGTGCCATTGTAACTTTGAATGGACACTAAATGAAAGGCTGTAAGTCAAGAACTATCTGTATAGGTAAAGTTTTAGAACTAGAATGAACTCATCCTATATGTGTTCTTGAGGCCCACAAAACAAGAATAACAGAATGCACTGTAACGAATGCTTATTTACTGCAAGGTATGTGTGGGGTAAATTAAATTCAAGTTTAAATACCTTAACATATTTTCCATATAAATTAAAATGTTCACAATCTGGTACTTTATACCAAAATCAATCATCCAATCATACTTTTAAACAAAGCATGATGATCACCCACACATATTTTTGCTTTAGTTCTAAGCAGATTTAAGTAATGCTTTATCTGACATCCACATCCCATAAGAGACTTGACACATCATTTAGGTGATCATTATCAGCCCAAAAAATCAAGAAATGCAAGTTGTTTAATATCGGTGCACCAAAATTTAATTTTGACCAAAAATCCATCATTCTCCTTCATATTTTCAGTTCTGGTTGTAAGAAGTCACGTGAAAATATTCATCAGCGTTTCCCAATATGGTTCAGGCAATGCCAGTCCTTAATTATCATAAAATCAAAAGTTACATCTTAGATACATCTTTGTCTATGCTGTAAGACAAAAACATTAACAACCTATTGGTACTGGACTTAAGCTAGTTAATGCTCAAATATTTTCTGAGAGGATTTATGGGCAATAGTAAATGTTTCGAGACATTCTAAACTGTATTTAGTGATCTCTCTGGATTGCTATAACAATGATCACATCTGTTTCATGGATAAATTGCAACAAAGGAAGGAAAGATATATGACAACTATTAGTGGGTTTAAAAATTAGTTAATGTCTGCTTAGGAGAATCAACTTTATTCACTATCAGGTTAGTTATGATACATAATATTCAACTGAAGAAAACTAATTTGAACTTTCCTAGAAAAGACGGAGTTAAACAAAATATTTTATTTAGACAATTCAAAGGCACTTCTCAGGTTGTATGGACAAAACTCAAATCCAAGTGTCAATTGTTGACACTAAAAGATTTAAATATCTAACTTTAACAACACAGAGAGTATTTTATTTAAAAACTCAGTTAAACAAACTAATTGCATCACCGACAATGAAGGGTTGACTTTTAACTCAGCAATTCAGTTAATATTTAAAGTGCAAGATTTAAAATTGCCTTCAAAGGACTATACGCAAGAGTGTATGTATGTTTTCTTCCATTATAACTGCCAAATATGACAAAATTTACTTATAATACCTGCTCTTCAAATCTATCAGTGTATTTTAAGCAATTTGCACAAAGAATTCAATCACTCAGCAACAAGAAATGTTTTCTATTGTTCTTTTTCTGTATTAAAATTCAAGATGAACTAAACCACCTACATTAATGCTGATGCAGCATACAGATTTTAAAAAAACTTTAGTTTTAATTCAACATCATGAGCACATTTCTTGTACCATTCCAAAATCTACTGGGGGGGGGGGGATCATAAAACTCTTCCAAATTTGAGTTAAAAGAAACATTAACAGGGTACCACCACCCTATCACAATCTCTGTAACACTTCTTGAGCATATTTTTTTCTGGGGCTATACAATTACAAGACCAGAAAAATGTGGGGTTTCTTTTAAGGTGCCACATATATATATCAACCACATCTACACCAGATCCAAACTATCTTTTCTATCAGGCCCATCTTCCTTAATAACCCAACTTTCTGTCAGTGGAGATGCCGAGGATTATATTTTTATAGTCTTCGATATTTTAAATCAAGAAGAGATGGCTATTTTCTCACCAGTTTTAAATTAGATGAGCTAGTAAATATTGTGATAGAAAGAAAACAGGAGAAAATGCTCAATTACTAGGCAACTATGTATGTATTGACTGAAGCTTTAAGATGAAGCTGTAAGATACCTGTATAGTCCACAAAAGGCCACAAACTCTATCTTCCTTCCTTCAACTACAGAGCTGCTAGTCACAGCAGAGAAAAGACAACCATGGAATTCAGGATTCAACGCTAATGTGGCCACATTCAAAGTAAAACTAATCCAGAATTGCTATGCCACTAAACCAGCCAGAAAATAATGCCAATTTTTTTTGTTCAGGATTTATAATTTTGTTCCTTCTTCAACAATCCAAAGCACAGGTTCAATCTAACTGGAAGTATTTATCTCCTCTAATCCAGAGTTTAATATTCCTATTGCACAGGTCCATTATCTATAACATCTATAACAAGAATTCTCAACAATTCTGGCATACTGCTGTGGTCAATGTTCTAATTCAATCTGTACTATAGCAAAATGTTATGTGAAAGAGCCAACATAATTTTATTCAACTTTGTCATGAACTGAATAATGACAACTCATAAATACCATCATTAAGTAGATTTCAATACTCTGATTCCAAGCTTGCACTTTTAAAAGCTCTCCAGAAAAAAACCTTACTTGTAAAAAAAATCATATTTATAATTGTAGTTAAGTTTCTCAGAATTGTTACAGATCTTTAAACATTAAAAAAATATTTTACATATTACAAAAAGCTACTGCACCTCAGGCTGATAGTAAAAATATAGGATTACAACTTTTCTAACAGCTGTAGTCAAAAGATCAGGAAAAGTGTCTGCCTATATCTGTATGCCTTTTCCTGCCTTGGGAATATTTATCTTCACCTTCTTTAAAAAAAGGATTAAGTTGCAAACTTTGAAAATCATCTTAATAGTAATAAATGATGAGTCATGGCACATCGGGATATATTTCTCTATAAGAACTATAACAGCAGGATCAGTTATTCCTCCAGTTATCCCCCTATTAAATGATTGCACATATTTCACAATAACATAAAAGTATTTTATTGCTAATAATTATTACTCCATCTGATTTATTGTAGATATCTTTGTAAATTAGACTCTTACTTTATAATTTTTTTATACATTAACAGTCCTATTTCTTGGAGTATTCATTGACTTAAGATGAAATCCTATATTCACTTACCTAGACTATTGCCCAAATGAATTCAGTGGGCCTTGCTTCAGAGCAAGCATATTTAGGTGCAGTTGACATTTTGCATACCTTGAGTATAATAAGGCGGCAAACGTAATGTCATTTCATGTTAAGTCGGCATGCGTTTATTTCTCACAGCCAAGGTAGTCTACCCATTGAGAATAAATTTCAGTTACAGGTTTGATGTTGGGGGGGAATTGCAATATAATTATATATATAACTATATATATAACTATATATATATATATATATATATATATATATAGTTATATATATAAAACTCTATATAAAACTATATATATGTATATAACTATATAACTATAACTATCAATTAGTTTGCAGAACAAGCTATCAAAGCATAAGCCTTTTCCTATGTGTTATTTCCCAGAATCAGTCTCATGCACATTTATGAATAAAACTTCGTACCTTTAAGCCTGTTCTATAAAATAGACAACTCCAAACAAGTATTTTATTTTAAAAATGATTTTTAACTAAGTAATTATCTTAAACTGCTGTCTCTATTGAAACTTCACTGTAGTATAAAAACTTTTCCATATGTTGCAATGTATATGGAATTAAAAAGGTGAAACTGTGTTGCTCAGTTAAAACGAATATTATGAAGCTCCTCCTTCAGCAATTTCTGAAGGGACAGAAATAATTTAAACATCCAGCCTTAAAAGCCAGGTTAGCACCAAAAACCTACACCACTTTCCTCTTAAAAGCTCTGTTTATATGGGCACAGTTAAACCAGTGCCACGTTGCTAAGTTACAGCTTTACTAGTCTGACATTTCTACAATAAGAACAATACAATCTGGAATCTACTCAAAGCATTAGCCAGGCAAGGGAAAAAGAAAGCCAGCAGTCAGCTGACTATATATTGTACTCCTGCCATGTGCCTGCAGTTTTTTTTTTAAGAGAGAGAGAGAGAGTTGGAAGTGGATGACTTCCCACGTATTATTTTTTTAAAATTTATTTTATCAAGAGGCAAGATGGGAAATAGGGAGCAGAAAACTGCTTCCAAAACGTTTCTTCCTCCTCGGCGCGGGCCTCAGATATGCGTGTAACCTTCACACGTGTCCGGCCATGTTCCAAGCAGCAGCCATCAGGGAAAACTTTTACGAAAGGTCATTGCGACGTCTTTCGTGGCCTTCTCCTCTCGCCCAGACTCTGTTCCACCCCGGCACCCACCCCGAGGAATACACAGAAACAGCTAACACAACTCGTCCACGAACGCACAAAGGCTCCTCGGTACGGTCCCCTGAACTGCGCTCCCCTTAGGCCTACTTCACCTTTACGCGGCAAGCCACGCTTCCACATCCTGTCCCTTTCGCCCACACGAGCGCAGATCCCGGCCCCAGTTCACAGGCCTTCCTGGGCCGCTCACGAAGCTTGACCTTGGGAGGCCCACCCACTGGCCCAGCGTGTCCGATTGGCGCTTGGGTCCCGAAACACGCTTCGCCCCATTACCCCGCCGGCGGCCGCGTGATCCTCCTCCTCCTCCTCCTCCTGCTCCCATGGCGCACCATGGCGGGCAAGTGCGCCGGGAGCGCCGTCCCTTCCAACCTCCCTCCTTTCCCGCCTGGAGATTCCCCTCCCCCCCCCGCACACACACACACACACACAAAACCGCTCCCCACCGGCGCCCACGCGCGCGAGGGGGCTATTTGCTGTGTCAGGCCCCATTCCCCCCCCCCCTCCAGCCGGGCGGCGAACGGGCGAGCGCGCGCCGCCTGGCGAGTCACGTGGCTCAACCCCCCCACTCACCTCCATGAAGAGCAGCATCTTTTTCCTCCAGCCTCCCCCCCGGCCAGTCTTTGACCCTCCCGACCCCGACCGAAGCCCCCGAGGCGAGCCGCCGAGGTCGTCTTCCTCCACCACTGCCGGCAACGAAAGCCTGACTCCGCGCAAAAAGACGCGAGCTCCGCCTCCTCCGGCCTCCTTCTCCTTCCTGCCGCCGCTATCACTCCATTCACCACCAGGGCCGAGCCCCAGCAGCCGCCGCCGCCGCCGCCGCCGCACGCAACCTTTCCCCCCTCCCCTTCCGGGGCAATTCCCACAAATGCTTCCGGACTACGAGCTGCTCACTGACAAGCCTTAGAGAAGTGACCCTCTGGTGACAAGCGATCGCGTTAGCGGCCGCGCGAGCGTGGTAGCCGCAGAATGTACCATTAGCTGAAAGGGGGAGGGGGTGCCATTCCTCCACCTGTTCTTCGCAGGAACCATTCTTTTTGCCCGTAGGGAGCGTCGTATTGCAGGAATGTGAAAAACACGTGCAAGATACGCGAGCCGCCTTATTATACCCAGCCAATCCTGAAAATCTGTTTTATACTGTTTCCGCGTTATTTTATTTTGGCTAAACTAAACTAACGGCTGAGTACTTTAATCCAGCTAAATTTTCGCAAGCGTAGGTGGGGTTTTGTTTTTTTTTTAGTTCAGAGCTTGTAGGACGACTTTGCAAAATGCTTCTTTTTACGGTACCTTCCTTCGGTCACTCCAGTATGCTAGAATTAAAATTTTGTAGCATCTTGAAGACTAAAACCTAATATTTTAACTGCTATGTGTAACCTATTTTTCTGGGGGCGGGGGCGAGTGCTGTTTTGTCTTGACCACGTAATTATTTGATGAAGGCGCCCTTTTTCGTAAACTTCATTGCACTGAAGTTACAGAACTTAGTGTCCTGAATTAAAGAAGACAAAACTGAAATCTATTCCATATTACTACTAGTGTATTACATAGTAGGTATAGAGAGGCAGGGGAACATAAGTAGAAAAAAATCTATTTGATACAAACAAGTATCAAACTTTTGATTAATCTTTGTCACCCAACATCTCCATGATCTTTTCATAGTACTTTTCCTGACCACTATGCTTTGTTTTCATATGACATACTATAGTACAAGAGCCATGCTAATGAACAAGGAATTTAGGATTTCCCCAATATTATCTGAGATTTATTATATTATATATAATATTATCTCCCTTTTTATTATTCACCTGTATGTTTGCTGGCAGAAAATGATGTAAACAACTTTCCTGCATTGTATCTTCCGCACAAATAATTTTTGGATTTAGTACAATAGAGTTATTCTGATCATGGTGTTCTCGTATTTGCAATGCTCCAAGCATTTTTTTAAAAATAAAATCAGCAAAAGATAAAATACAAAAAAAAGGGGGCTGGGAAAAGAGGAGTTAAAAGGCAAAATCAGAAGGAAAGGGGAAAAAAAACACCCAATAGCTTCCAATTTTCTTTGGTACAGATACAGACATAAAATACATTAACCTCTTACTCTAAAATCAACAATACACAATATTTCTATAATAATTGTGAAAACCCCAAATTAAAATTTAATTTCCTTCTGCCTCCAGCAAAAAGTTAAACAGTGGTTGAACAGATAGGACAGATAGATGTTGATTCTATTTTTTGTGAAGCTGAAATTCTGTGCTGCAGGAGGTTTGTAAGCTTTCCCACTTATTCAAATTGGTATAAATAATTCATTTTGAACAATAAATACTATTTTATCTCTCAGCTCTGCAGCACCAGGGTTTGATTCAATTATAATTATTAAATAAGAGAAGATAGAACAATTTTGTTAATTTCTGTTGTTTGGGGGAGGAGATTAATGTAGACAACAACATGTCTGGCTCATGAGATGTTGAGAAAGAAGATAATAGAATAGAATTCTTTATTGACCAAGTATGATTGGACACACAAGGAATTTGTCTTGGTGCATATGCTCTCGGAGTACTGCGAGCATACTGATACACTTAAAAATGAAATTCTGTTACCTGCTTTCAAAAGACACACATATAAACATGCTATATACATTCATATATATACTTACGCCCATACATATAAACTATATTTTTCCAAGTCATGGAATAAAATATCCCAAATTGTCCAAGTTGTGAGTAAAAAAAAATCCTCCAAGTAGTTGTCATTCTTTGATTCTCTGTCTCGCAGTAAACATGCAATAACATGATAATTGATAATCAATTATCAACATTACCATTCTATCTATGACAGATGCTTCAAATCAGCTGCCTGCTATGCAAAAGTTATAACATTAAATATTTTGTAACATTTGATAATGGCTTACACTGTCAATTCAAGTTTGGAGAAATAATACCAGGATTGAAAAGGGATTCTGTTCAGTGCCAATATACAAATCTATATAAAAGCGAAAACCACTCACACATTAATCATGAAATTTCCAGAACCGTAAAGCCTACAAACTTGAAATTTGCCACATGTGTTCCTCTTGGCTTCTAGGTGCTCACTAAAAGGATTTTTTGAAATGACCATCAGAGCATTATTATTTCCTATATTATAACACACACTGATGCTAATTAGTTAGACATTCTACTCCCCCTCCCAACTTGAAAATAACTGGAGAGAATGGGATAGCATAGGACAGGCTTCTGAGGAGCAAGACTCATGGATAAAAGGGGCTAGAAAGCTTGAGGGAGAGAAGGGGATAGGATAGGAGAGGTTTATGTGGGCCAAGCCTGAGGGAGAGAAGGGGAGGATCTATGGGGCAAGCCTGAGGAAGAGAAGGGGATAGAGAGGAGAGGCTTCTGTGGGGCTAGCCTGAGGGAGAGAAGGGGAGAGGAGAGGCCAATTGTAACTACTCATTAATTTTCAAACTCTTTAAGTGTCGATTTATCAAGCCCGATCACATAGTTTCGTAGCGGAACATGGATATTCAGCTAGTATATTCAATATTTTCAAAATGTCTATCTAAACTGAGGATAAACTTAAAATGTTCAACTACTACTGTATATATTAATAAAGCACTGCAATGCTGCTTTCCTTCCAAAGGTCTGATATATGGTGGGACATGTTGGCAATGAAACTTCCTATTTATGTAGAATTATGAATTTCTTTTCCCTGAAGCTTCTTTATATGCAAATGTTTGTTGCTTGCTTAGTGACATCATGGATTAGAAGCCATGGAATGGCAACGGAGACATCAATTCTATAAACAGAATCTGCTCCTCTCCTCTCTGGGTGATTTTCCATTTAACTGTAAAAAAAAATTTTTTTTTTGAAATGTAAATCTCTTTGTTTTCACCCATCCACTCACCTACCAACACAAATTATGTGATAAAGAGTACAGGAGGCTTATTTGGCTCATTCTGTGCAGTAATCATGCATTTCCAAAGATTTGTTGCATGGGAAAATCTACCATCCTTGACTTCAAAATCTGATGGCTCTTCATCATCATCGAAATCAGGAAGTGTGAGTGAATTTGCATCAGAAGGTCTTGCTGTGCCCAAAATTACAACCACCAAAAAAGAAACCATGCCAGTGGAAATTCCTATTCCTGTAAGGCGTGTTTTGGATAAAATTGACGTGGAACAACTGGAACGAGCCAAGAAGGTAGGCACCAAAAATGTAGCATCTTGCCCTGGAAAAGGACAATAAAGTTTGCATAACTCTTCACAATAGTATCTAGATTTGCCTCATAGATTCATGACTATCAATTGCATATTCTCGGACCACAAATCAGTAAGAGTTTTACCATTAGGCAAAATACAATCTGATTCTGGTCATTAATGAAGGGGAAGAAATGGTAAACTCTTAAAACTTTATTGTTACAGTACTATAATCTGCTTTTAAACCACTATCATCACCTTTATACTTTTGGGAAGAGAAGTCGCAAATGTATCTACATCTACATCTCCCAGATACAGAGAAAACATCTTATGGGATTTACTATCTCGGGGGAACATCTGATTTGTCTTGAATACTAGGAAATGCAGTTTGAAGAGAGTAGCATTTGTTGTTCCCCCTCAAATATCCCAGTGTTTTGGTTCCGCCTTGTTGAGCATCTCCAACCACCTCTGAAAGGTAGAAAAAAGGAAAATATTAATTTATTTCACAAATAAATGCTAAAACACCCACATTACGCTCTTTCATCATGAAAAATACTATTTATTATTGAATCCCTTCCTGAATGAAAAAAGAAAGCACAATGCCTTCCTCCTGCTAGTAAGCAGAGTCTACGTCCTGTTTTGGGGTATTTTTTTTACAATGCGAGGAAGGGAGAGGAGAGATGCTTCAAGAAAATCTAGAAGCAGAGTTTCTAGTTTCTAGTTATGTTCTTTTTTCCAAGGTAATCATTTCTGAATCTGGAGGTTTTACATTGTTTGATTAATACCTGCAGAAATGGATAGGCATATCTTTTATGAATTTGCTCATTTTAAAATCTAAGAGATTTTCACTATTATTTAACATTTCTTTAAAAATATATTTCTATCCCCATTCTTCATAGGACACAAAGCAGGTAGCATACCAACTAAAGTATTACAGTAAGGTCACATTCACACATCTAGAAATTTCCCAGAATTTTAAGAGCAGACTGAAAGAGCTCCAAAACTAAGAAGTGGTTTAGACAGCTGAGTTGGGAATTCCTGTAACAATTCAATACACTACTTTTCTCTGCAAATATGTTCTGCTCTTACAGGAGATTTCTAAAAAACTCTTTCGCATTCTGGAGAACGTGAATCGAGCTTATGAGCGCTATAAAAAAGATGATGGCATCGATCCAAAATTAGAAAAGGAATATAACACCATATTAACATGGGAGGAGAAAAGCCGTCGATCTCACTTCCTAGATGACATTGATGATGTGCTAAATGTAAACATGGATAAATTACTGGAATTGCGCCTAGTACTGGACTCATTAAAAGAATGCAGTAAGTTCAACAGTGGGAAGGGATACTCTGACAAAATTCTATCTCATAGAAAAGTTGTTTTTTTCAAAAGAAAAAGAGTTTTGACAATCTGATCCAGTAGATGCTGGATCTGATACTGTAGAAATGAGAATCTACCACTGTTTAATTAGGTATACTTATATAATGCATGTGAAGCAGGGGTGGGTTCTACTTACCTTTACTACCGGTTCGCTTCGTTCGCGTGTGCGCCTTGCTTCTGCGTGCATGCCTTGCTTCTGCACATGCGCAGAAGCTTCTGTGCATGCTCAGATTGCCAATGACGACAT